TTGCAGTCTCAAATGGGACCGTGGATGGTTCTGATGTTGGTGGTTCGCTGGCGGTGGGCTCCACAGATGAGGTTTTACCTGGGCAAGGTGTTGCTGGACAGGTGAATGTATCTGAAAGCGCTCAAGTTCTACCTGGGCATGATGTGGCTGGACAGGAGACGGTGCTAGAGGGAGCAGTACAAATTTCTGGCGATGAGACTGAGCAACAGCAAGGTGAAGGCGGGAGCAATGAACTCCAGGGTGATGGTATGGAAAAATTGGCTGTCCTCAAGGCGCAAAAAAGCCATGAGCAACTATGGACCAGAGGTCTGCTGAAGCGGATTTATTGGAAGGTCGCCGACGGCAGGATACCTGTCGAACAGAAGGACTGTCCAAAAGGATCCAATAAAATGGATCGAAATTTGGTTATTAGTATGTCTTCAGATGGTGCGAGCGAGCAGGAGTTGAGCCTGGCGCTGGTGGACAACGCCGGTCCTTCAATGGAAGAAGGTACGGCACTATTTCCGGTGTACAACCCACATATATTGATACAGTCGCCGACGACTGAGTGGGTTATGCGTCGTGGTTTGGCCGATCGTACCATATGGACCGCAATAGCGGCTTCAGCGCGGAAGATATGTGCTGAGATGATTCAGGTGGATGAACTGAATGCCCGGTTGGAGACTGGGAAACTCCTTATTCAAAGGAGAAAGGAAGGACATTATGGTGATTTACATCATCCGTTCCATGATGCTCCGTGCTTGCCAGCTGTGGGGAATTATCCACTTTCGGTGATGGGAACATTGTTATCTCCTGGCCTCGAGAATGAATTCAGAAGTACTGAAACGTTTGGAACTGCCATGGAAGTTCATCATGGAAGCAATAGCCTTCGACTGGAACCGTATTCCAGGCATGGAAGTCCACGTTGAACTAATGGCTAGGGTGGCACAACTGGTTTCTCCGTTCCTCACCATGGGAGGCCAAGGGACGGTGGTGAACTCAGAGTTTAACTGGCAGCGCGGAAGGGATCAACTGATGGAATTCCTTCAAGCAGCGACATGTGCTGATGAGTTGGAGGAGCTTTGGCAAAGAATGGACGATGATGATGATGATGCAGAGGTGGATCCTTCAGGGATGGTGCTGGAGTTCTCTGGACAGGACGAGTCGGTTCTTGAACAAGGGAACGGTGAGGTTCCTAGCTCTTCTGAAAGCGGGAGAGACGTGGTCAATGACGTCGAGGCTGCTGGCAAAGCGCCAGAAATTTCTCCTGAGGTGGAGACAGCTGATAGTTCCACAAGGAAGTCAACCACGAGGTTTTTCCTGCAAAGGATGTACAAGAGCGTCTATGACAAGTTGTTTGCGGATCCTCCGCTACAAGACCGGCAAACTGGGAGAATCTTCGACAGCACAAAGGGTTACCCTGGTGAAGGACCAAAAAATGGTGATGACTTGATTTCCTCTAAGGGGAGCTTACCCTGGATCTCGGAAGATTACCTCGATGGAGTGATGTCGAAAAAGATGGAAACGTCTTCAGAGATGAATGTGATGGATGGGTTTGTTCCAAAAGGTGAGGGACAGTTTGAGAAGGTAGAGGTGGAGAATGTAACTGCCTCTAGAATCCTTATGGCTCTTTGGAGAAAGGGGTATAGAGCTGGGTTTAGGAGGTTGTGTCGCTCAAAAGTTGGAGCAATCAACCATCCAATCAAACTGGTGCGGAAGTTTGGCACTAGAAAAACCCTCTTGAAGATGCCCAGTACTCGTGAATCGGCTCAGCATGGCTCAGGAGCAGGTGGGAAACCAATCATGAAGGTGGTAGGACCCAGGCCAGGTTTTCCCGCTGTTCTTGATGCACCAAACAGTGATAGCACCGTGGGTGAAGGGAACAGTCCTCAGGTACATGACAAGGTTCATGTAGGGCAGAGTCGCCCAATGGACCGCTATGAAGCAGAACGTCTGGAGAAGAGGCGAAAAGGTATCTGCTATTGGTTCAGCAGGGGAAAAGATCGCTGCAAATTTGGTGAGGATTGCAAATTTATCCATTCAAAAGATGATGTGGTGCTGCCATCGTTTTGGTGTAAATATTTTGTGGCTGGGAGACATTGTTTCTCTGGAGAGGACTGTAAGTTCTCGCACGATGCAACTGGTGTGAGGTGTATTCAGTTTGCTCAATCTGGGAAATGCCGTCATGGGGACAGGTGCGTCTTCGACCACAGTGATCCTCTGGATGGACCGAGGCCAAGGTCGCCTAGGACGCCCCCAAGGGATAGTCCACGGAGGAGTGCCGGTGCAAGAGGTGGAGGAAAGGAAATTTCTCCGGAACGCTACGATGAAGAGGAGGAGGATGCTATGGTGTATGACGACTACACCAGGATAATGGAGTTGCTGATGGAAGCAATCTCATAGATGTCTGATGGTAAGCCGGATTTGGCCCGCGCGGAAGCGGACCCGGTGTTCAAACTCCTGAAGTTCAATGGGGATGCTGAACAGAGGGACGCCGAGTGGTGTTCTTGGACAACAGGTATGTTGACATCATTGGAACTTCTCGAAATTGTGAAGTCATACGAGATTACACTGGATGAGGTCGAGGAGTGGATCAATGAGTTGAGGATATGGTTTCAACGCGCTAACCTTGAAGAAGGGAGCGATTCAAGAAAGGGCAAAAAGAGGTCCCTGGAAAGGGAGTCCAGTAAGGACACTCTTGCTCAAAACGAGGTGCCGGAAACCTCAGATACAGAGGTTATCGTAGATGAGGAGGTGAGAAAGACCAAAAAGAAGAGGAAGACTGCTGCAATTGAGGATCCCTATACTCTTCTGACTCCAAAACCGAAGAAGATGCCGGTGAATACTGAGAAGGGTGGATCGTCATCAAAAGCGGTGGTTTCTGGAGAAGAAAAGCCTTCGACAAGTACGCGCACAAGGGTGGCTGGTTCGAGCAAGGCACAAAAGAAGGAGAAAGTGATGAAGGTGAAAGGTCCTGAAGCAAAGGATCGTTCCTCTGACGTGGATGCACAAGCGTCTACCGTGGTGGATGAGGAGTTAGAGCAGCCCCGTCAATCGCAGAGGGGTTGATCTCCTCGATTCAGAGGTGTATACTGGATCCTGTTGTTACAGTATCGGACCTGGAGCATGTTTTGCTACGACTTCATTTAAGCATCGACGCCAATCGGAAGAAGCAGAAGAAGTCATGACCGAATGGTGGTAATGGATGCTGAAGTGGTTCTTCTCTTTCTGAAGACAAGTGCGCTGGAACAGCCAATGTGCTGAAAACATGGTGGTTACTATTAAGGGTTAGGAAATCCCTGGTGGTAGGAAGTTTTACCCAATGAGGTTTTGAGAAATGTAATTCAACCGTCCTGGAAGACGTTAAACCACAAGATGCATTCCATGCAGCCGGCTGCTGCCGATAATGGCAGTTTTTGGCCGAGAATCTGCACCTCCAATTGTGTCCTAGGAAATCCTAGGACAGGGGGAGTGCGGAGCTGCAGTTTGTATTCAGGAATTGGGTTGGAGGTAGAGAAAAAGGGTCAATGCACCCGATAATGTTTGGCTCAAGGATGGCCCGGATCCATCCGTCTGCAATAAAAAAGTTAGAACGCCCGGGTTGGGGGTTTGGAGGTAGAAGTCCTTCCCCTTCCCTCTTGGTAGTTCAGGATTGTGACCCTGTGGGTTGTTCTGTTTTCTGGAGGCAGCTGTTGAGGGTTGATATTGTTCCTTGTCCCCTTTCGGTTGCCCCCGTACCCAGTTCGTCCCAAACATCTCCCTCAACTCATCCCCAGCATCCCTCCCCTGAGTGCCTGACGTTCTCTCTATCCCAGCGTTCGCCGCGTCCATCTGCATGCCCACCCTATCCATCACCAGCGTGAGTTCCTGGGTGCTATTCGTCAGACCTGGGGGCAGACCTGGCGAGAAGGGAAGCTCCGTGTGACTATGCCTGAGATCTACCGTCAGCTCTCCAGCGATGGTGATATTCCCACTATCCCGTCCTGCGTTTGCACCTCCAGACCCTCCAACCCCCCCGATATCCCTTGAGATGTCGTTGGAGTCGTTGTCCTCGGTGTCCTCCATGTCCCGGGCTATTCTATCCGCGGTCCTCAAAGCTTTAAAACCTGCGACGTCCTGTTCCTCAACGAGTCTATTCCCACCTCTCGTCTCACTCGATGCATGCACTATCATCAGACCCAACATCCCGAACGCTATCACGCGTAGCCATTGCTGCAGACAACGGATACGAAAACGTACGGAAAACTTCGCTGTGCAAGTGGTACCTCCACTCTATATCGAAAACTTCTTGAACTGCTCGTCCAGGCCAAGCAACAAGGCTCTTAACCTGTGCGAAGTGTCCAAATCAAGGAAAACTTGCGCAACCCGCTCCAGTAACTAGCTCAGGCCACACGAGGAAAAAGAAGTTGGTTATATACAGTTGTAAGTTGTTAAGTTGCTCCTGAAGTAGCAGTATCCCTGCCAACGGGGAACACGAGGTAGCTAGCCAGGTACTCCTATGCCACTCCCGATGTCGACTATCGGAAGGATCCCTAGAGTTGCTATCTCCAGGGGGTTGATGGCCTATCCACCAGATGTATCCGCTAGCCGTCCGACCACACGTTGTACACCTGACAAGATATCCACCTGAACACTCTCCAACAACCAGTGTCCTCTAGCCGTCCGACTGCGAGTTGCAAAGGGTCCAGGAAAGTATCCCAAGGGTTAGGGTAAAGGAACTATTCCACAGAGCCCGGTCCTTTTCCGTTCCTCTAACCGTCCGACTCCGAGTTGACGGTCAAGAACCAGTCTATCTGCAAAATATCCCAGGGGCGCAAAAGGAATCTGTACACAACTACTTAAGAAGGGCCCTTCTTGAGCAGCTCACGGCTGCGAACGAGCATGTCGTTCATATGCTATCCAGGCTCAACATCTCTCAAACATGCACCCCGGCAAATCTAACTGACCTCTTTGTGCTAAACATCTCCATCTCTCTCTCTCTCTCTCTCTCTCTCTCTCTCTTCTCTGTCTCGGGCCGAAGCCGAGCCGGCCGGCACGAGCAGCGGCTGCAGGGCCAAGTTTGCTACCTTCGAAGACAGAAGAGGAAAAGAACCAAACTCACAAGACTCCAAAAAGAAACCTGGCAGAGCCTAGCAGTCGCATCCCCCAAAACGCAGAAGTAGCCGCGCGGCAATAAAACTACCCGATTCAGTGACCCTTGACTATAAAACTAGAAACGCCGCTCCCCGCCCCGGTGAGCAAGTTCGCCAGCAAGAACACGGCCAGCATGGAGTCGGAAACCTCTTTGAGCATCCGGGTGTTTCAAAGATTTGCAACACACCGCGTAACACTTGAGCGCTTTAAGTATTCTCACTGATTGCGTGAGTGCGTGAGAGCGAGAGTGTTTGCAAGTACAAAGAGTGGGGCCGCTGCGGCTGCCAGAGTCAGCGAGATGGGCGGCCTGGCCACGTAGAAAAAAACAGCAAAAAAAGACCAGAGAGGGGAGAGGCTCTCCCATCGCTCTCCCATTCCTTCCTGTTTGCAAGTTTTTCAAGGTTGTGAGAGCCATATAGAATATAGAGCCATTGAGAAGGTCCTCTCTCTGTGCTCTCATATATTGGCTCTGTGCTGGTTCAGTCACGGCTTTTGCACTCACTTCGCTAGCTTTCGACTCGAAAGCCTTATGTCAGAAGTCCCCACTCTGACAGGCCCCAAGGATGAGCATCTGAGGTGCCCGTCTTCAGAGTCTTGACAAGACATTCAAGAGTCACGGCAATTGAACACGGCAATTTCTGACACCTGTGGCGCCTCGAGGTCGCAGGGAGCACTAAATTGACCATCACTTTCCTCTTTCCTCTTTATTGGGAGAGCTTCCCCGTTTGTTCAAAAGTGAGAGCGGCCATTGAATGGTCTCGACTGAGTTCACAGTGCCCCAGACTGAATGGGATCCTCTCAAATGGCTACCAAATGGCTCTGATACTGGTTCTCTCTTCGTTTCATAGAACTGTGGTTTATTGTTGGCAATGTTGGCAACTCTTCTCCAACAGAGTGCGCTCTCCTCGGGTGGCTGGCGGCGAGGTCTGCGAGGGCCAGCAGCGCCAGTCTGCGAGCTGAAAAAAAGATTCTGCCAAAGAAAAGGAAACGGCTCTGGGAACCGAACACCCAGGTGCTCAGAGAGATGACGTGGAGAACCTCGGGGCTCTCTCCGGCTCCCTCTCTCGCTCGCTCTAACTAAGCTTCTCTGACTAAGCTTCTCTCAGGTCTGCCTTGGGCTGCCGGCATAGGGAAGGTTGCACCTCAGAACTCCCCGACAATGGGGGGGGGCTCACGCTCACCCTGGTTCACTTGCTGAGAGGCTCAGCTGGGGCGGTTGCATACGCCGTGACCTGAACGAGTGTTCTGGTTCAAAGAGAAGAGAGGGAAGGGTGAGAAGGGGTCCCAATTCGTGACATTGACTCTTGGACTCTTGGGCTCGGGCACCGCAATGCCAGCCAAACCCAGGAAGTGCGTAGTCAAGGCGCTCAAAGAGGAAACAGCTAAGAGCCTGGAGTCTCTCGTGTGTACTAAGTTACTAAGATTGTTTCAAAAAGGAAACACTTTAAAAGGAGAGCCGCTGCGTGAGCTCTTAAGCAGCGCAATCATGTGCAATGCTCCAAGGCTCCACACAAAAGCACCGTCAGCTTGGGAGAGAAGGCCCTTGTCAGCGAATCTCACGTGGACACCAATCACTCAGGTGAGAGTGTCATCTTTCTTAGCAAGCCGTCCGTATTGAGTCTTGCGGCTTGCGGAACAAAAACAACACCGATACCACGATATCTTTTTGCGCTTCACTTCGCTTCGCTGGGCGTGGCCTCAGCAGGGCGCCGATGCCCGAACCCAGCCAGTGGAGGCCTCTCCAAGAGCCAAGCAGCGCAGAGCAGAGCGGCCCTCAAAGCGCCCTCAGGGAGGTGTTGCTGCATGGCTCTGCGGTGTCGGGGCCCCCTGCTAAGGTAGCCGGCGCAGCCCAGGATTCCCTCACGGTTCGCGGAGAAAAGTCCGCGACGAGGTGCCAACAGTATAAAGTCGGCACCTGAGGCGGGCGCAGCCAAGAAAAGAAAGAAACACAATTTTGCCTGACTTGTCCTGTGTCCAGAGGCATGTAGAACGTCTGATCTCACTCAGACTAGACATAGTCAAACATAGCACAATGCACATGTCAAGGGCCCTGAGGAGAGGTGAAGCGCGGTGAACATGAAGCATGGCAGCTCGCGCTGAAGTGTTGACATAGATCGATACCCTCATGTTCAGAGGTGTCTTGAGGCGGGGTGCCCCACGCAGAGGAAACATGTGACCACATGCGCCGGTCCCTCTCTTCCCTCTTCCCGCCACTCCCCTTTCTTTCTCTGAGAGTGAGTTGTTTGCAGTGTCAGCAGGGAGCTTCATGAGCATCAGCAGGGACGGTTTCAGCACCAGAGAGGAGCAAAATGAGCAAACAAAGGAAAACACGATTTCTAAAAATGGCCCGGCAAACTGGGTCCCGTTTTGGGACGGGGGGGCAGGGGGGCCGAAGACGATGTTGCGAAGTTTCCGGTTCCCCTTCGCCTGCAAGAAGGACAGGCTCAACAGGTGGCCCAAGATGCCGCGCTCAAGCAACATTCCAGATTCTTTGAACAAAATGTGAGAAAATTGTGAAAATCACATATGATTGTGCAGTTTTGACACTTGACTCGGGCACCGCGAAAGAGGTGAGATCTACTTGGCCGCACCAGCGGTTCACTCTAAGACTTCCTCCCTTCAGGCTGGGCGGCCCCTCACGTAAAGGCAAAGGAGACAAAGTATGACATCTGCCTTTGCCCAATGCACGCAGCAGAGAGATCCGTGCCGAGATCACACCCGTCACACCCCTTGCGGATCGGCTTGCTTGTTTTCACGCGCCGAATCTCACAGCAGTTCGCACAGCAGTTCGCACAGCATCGCACAGCCAAATCAGCCAACCCCTGTTTGTGTGTCAACTTTGGCTATCATACGAGCGGACACAGGACACACTGCTGCTGCCCAAGAAACTCTAAGTCCTGATGTACTACACTTGAAGCTCTGTCAAGAAGCACGAATGACGAGCCTCCGCCAGTGCTCAAGTAGAGCCTGACACCGGATGTCGGTGTGTGCAGGTGGTATTCGTGCTTAACGAAGAGAGCGTCAGTGAATTCGTGGCGCACAGCTTTTATCTCAGAGCTTCTCTCCTCACTCTGCCCTCTCTTAGTGCTTCTCCTTGTGCTCTCTCACCTTTGTGCTTCTCTCTCCTCTGAGCTGGAAGGGCCAAGAGGCTGGTAAAGTGTGGCCAGCAAAGCTCCGGCAGCCGGGGATTCTCCCGCCCGGAGGTCCTGCCCCCAAAAAGGAAAGACGAAAGAGAAAAGCGACGCGCACCAAAGGCAACCAACAAACAGAAGCAAAACACACGTCTACGTCGTCTACGTTCTCTCTGTGACAAGAAGTGGGGGAAAACACGCACGGAAACACTCTCCAGCGCGAGAGCCGCGAGTCCAGAAGGCTGGATGCCAGCGCGACCGCTGCAATCGTAAAGAAGAAGTTCCAATGGACACCTCAGAGTGCTGCATTCTGTGTGTGCATTTGGAGAAAACGTGAGAGAAGACTGGCAGAGAGAGACCTCCCTGAAACTCTCTGAGAGCTCCGCTCAGCACTCAGAGCACTCAGAGCCTGGCCATACTCGGAAACTTGCACATGATAGTCCTCAGCTCTCAGCTGTCGAGAGAAGATGAAAAAAGGTAAAAAAGGTAACAAAAACGAACTAAGAGTATCGCCCGTCCACACGTTCCGCTCTCTCAAACTGGGGGGAGGGGCAATGCCCCAGAGCAATGCGGCGCGTACACTTCCCAATAGAAGCACCGGCCTCAGAACGGAGAAAGCGGAGAAAGCAAAGAAAGTGAGAGAGCGCTCTAGTTGATTCTGTAACTCTGCTGCGAGTTTTGGAGTCTTTTGGAGTTGGAGGCTCTCCCCTCAGCTCTCAGCTCTCAGCTCCTCTCTCAAGAACGCCCCCGCATACGCGCTAAAGAGCGGGGGGGGCACCAAAGCTTGAAGAGGACTCCGAGAACTCGAACTCCACCTGAAAAGTCTCTGAAAACAACTCAATTCTCAGAAGAGGGACACTTTTTTGAAGGCAGCTCTCAAGTTCGGGCTGCGAATGCGGAGAATCTTATGAGAAAATAGCGCCCTCTTGCGTCAGCTCTTTGACCCGAGTTCACAGCACAGAGCACACCGGCTTCACACGAGAGGCCCCTGCCCTTGCGCCGCGACCCGGAAACCTCTGTGACAGAACGGTCTCCGACAACGCAGCTTCTGACAAAAAAAACACCCTGCCAGCGAGGTAAGGCCCCGGCTGCTGAGGCGACGACTATGCAGCCAGTTCCAAGATCCATCAAAGCGTAGCCGAACCTCTGCAAGATCTTGAAAAAGAGCAAAGAGGCAAGCGCTTCGCGCTTCTGCTCGACGTTCTTGTGAGAACTCGTCTCCCTCTCTCTCTGCTTTTTGTTGGGCAGCCGGGCGTTTCGGTCTTGGCATGTTCTCGGGGGAAAAGCGATGGGAAGTCCACCTCAGCCAGGAACGGAACTCAGAAAAAAAACTCAAAGTTAGGAAGAGATCCGATGTGCCTGCGAGCTTTCTTTCTTTTCGCAAGAAATGCCTTCTCTCCTCTTTGCTTCTTCCTGCTTGCTGTTTTCTGCTTTCTTGCTTTGCTTCTGTTTTCTTGCTTCTCACTACTTCGTCTGCCGCTTCTCTTCCTCTTGCTTCTCTTCTTTCCCTTCCCTTCTCTGCTTCTCACGACTCCAGCTCCCCCTCGCTCCCTCGCGGTCCCTCGCCTGTTGCTCTCCATGCTCTCCAATTCTCGCTCCGGGGCGCCGCCAGGATGACGACGCAGGTGGAGATCATCACCTCAGCGGCTCAGCGAAGCCATGCCCCAAGCAAAAAAAAGCCAAGCAGCAACTCAAAGAAGCCAATCAAGAAGACCCCCCCCCCCCAAGCAAAAGCAAAACAAGTGCTCCCCAACATCACTTAGGGAGGGAGTTTTTTGAGGCAGGCGCTTTGTGGGTGCGAGTCGCACTTAGAGACGACAGAGATAGAAGGGGCAAGGGGAGAGGGAGGGGGCTGGGAGAGGGAGAGAAAGAGAGAGAGAGAGAGAGAGAGAGAGAAGAGAGAAGAGAGAAGAGAGAAGAGAGAAGAGAGAACAAAATACGTGATGTCTTAAGAATTGGGTCACAGGAATGAAACAAAAACAAAGGGGGGGGGGGGAGTTGGGGGCGGAGTGAAAGGGAGCGAAGGCGAAGCGAACAAAGGCAGAGCTTTTTCCCACTTGGGATCCGGCAAGGGCGCGGTATTCGGCCACGAAGCGGAAGCGACCTCGCCAAGAGCAACTCTTGCTTGGGAGCTTCTCTCTTTGTTGTACTTCCTGTTGATCTTGTTGGGCGGGGGAAAAGGGAGGGCAGGCCAAAGACTCGTCTGTGCCTTCTTTTTCTTTGCTCAGCATTATCCTGGCTTTTGCCTTTATTAAAGCTTATTGAGAGCCATAATTGGGCAACGAAATTTTCAAAGAGAAGTGAACAGTCAGAGTGTGTGGCGCTGGCTGTGCCTTGGAGCATGGAGAAGTCCCGAGCTTCACCGGAGGCTTCGCCGGAGGCTTCTCCGCGATGCTCTTTCTCCTCTCTCTGTCTCTCACTCTCTCTCTCGCTCTCATTCTCTCCAACTCGCTCCAACACGAACTACCAATACAGACAGAACTTGAAAGAGATGAGAGAAAAGAGCGGAAAAAGGAAATAGAAAGAAGGAGTGAAAGAGCTTGAGAGAGACCTCTCCCCCCCCCCTCCCTCCCCCCCTCCCCCCGCCAACCGCTGCCTCGGGTGACGGCGACGAAGAAAGCCTGCGGAGCAAGGAAAAAAGAGGAAGCTTTCTTTGAGAGCCGAAGTGAAGAAGACTGAGGAAGACCCCCTAGTCACCCTACATTCTCTCTGTTTTTTGTTGCGTAGAGCTCTTGACAGCTCTTGACAGCTTGGGGCCAGGCATGGAGAACGCGGAGAATGCGAAGAGCCAGAACGTCCTCGTCGAAGCCGTGGCGAAGGTCGCCGCCCTGAGAGGAACCCCATTAAGGCCCACAGTCACAAACACTTCTCTCTCTCATGCTCTCAGTTCCCATCTTCCTCTCTCAATGCTACGTCGGCACTGTCTTCCATTCTGCCACCTCTCTCCCGACTTTCTCCCCAACTTTCTCAAACAAGTGGCAAAGGCAGTAGGCACAGGGCGGCGTCCAGCGCGGCCCCGCGCAGCGCCGCCTGAAAGTTCTCCCTCCTCTCTCGCTTCTGAAGGATACTTGAAGCGTGGTCTCTCTTCTCTCTTTCTTTCTTTCTTTAACCCTCTCTCAGAATTCTTCTCTCTTGATTCTCGCTCGCGCTCACTCGCGCTCTCAATGAGCGCCCAACATTTCGGGCCACGAGGCGCTGCACCAGACCGGTGTAGCTATGCTGGGCGATGCTGGCCAAGGGATACACCTTTTTCCGCCCAGCAAGAGTTGAAAGATGTCGCCAGATGCCGCAAGATGTTGCAGGAGCTTGCGCAATGAGAAATGTCACCCAGCTTCCGAGGAAGGCACCAGCAGCAGGGCGTAAAGGCGCCTCTCTCAAGACTTCTTCCTTCTTCCTTTTCTCCGCAGCGAGATCTCTCTGTCATTCCTGCCTTTTCCTTTCTGCCTTCTTTGTGAGAGAAGGCGAGAGCGCGAAGCTCGCTGCAGCTACTTCTCTCTCTCAGTCTCAGTCTCCAAGCTCCCGACCATGCTTCGCTGCCCGTCTCATTGAGGTAGGCCTCTAACTCTAACAAAAGGAACAGAAGAACACAAGCTCGTGTGCTCCGCCGCTCCGCCGCTCCGCCGCTCCGCCTCTCTTAGCCTCTCTTCTTTTTCCAACGCTGGGGCTCAGTCCTTCTCTTGCAGCTGCCGGTACTGGCCAACATCCACGCTCCACACGCAGGCCTCTCCGTGCTCAGCTTGTGCTCAGCTTGTGCTCAGCTCGTGCCTAGCTGTGTGCTTAGCTGTGTGCTTAGCTGCGCTCTATATCCCTCTCAGCTGTGCAACCCTCGGAGCCGCGAGCCGTCGCAGGAGGCGTCAAATCGGCTTTGGGCCTGGTCGCTCCACAGCAAAGCCTCGCAAAGGATCCCGAAGAGTCCCCCCCCCCCCCGCCCTATTTTTGAACTTCTTCTAAGTAGAGCTTCGGTTCTTCAGTGCTTTCCTCTTTCTCTCTCACTTTACCTTTTTTGTTGAAGTCTCCGATCCGAGTTCTGCTCCCCCACCTCGCCATCGAGCCGCGGGCAACCTGCCGGAGCAGAGAACACCAACAGAAAACAGCAAGAACAGAACAACAAAAACAGCAAGAACAGAAAACAGAACGAAAGCAGAAAGCAGAACAACAGAAAGCAGAAAACAGAAAACAGCAACAACAGAAAGCAGAGAACACAAACAGAAAGAGAACTCGAGAACTCCAAAAAAAAACGTAAGGTCAAATAAGGGATCCCTCTCGGGCATGGGGGGATTCCTTGGAGCTCACACAAGGGCCTATTCACATGTGGCTTTGGCTGATCAAAGTACTGAAAGCAACACCGCTTCCAGTGTCGCAACTTCTTGGCACTAGTCAGCGTAGGTAGGATCATGGATCAGCTGGCAAGTTGCGGCACGTGGTGTCAACGAGCACAAAGGCAGGGGAAATACGACAAACCTCGCAGGGATATGCTTTTACTTCTGCAGTGCTCTGAAAGTGCGGTCCCCAGAACTTGGGTGCCGTTTCAGTACGCTCGGTCCCCAAACAGCAGGATGCTAGTTGAACACGCTCAGTCTTTTTTCGCGCACACAAGGACCAACCAACCAAGGCGCCTGTCTGAAACCTTCAAACCTCGCACACTGGGCCCTTCAAGCACGTTATGGTTCTAGGGTTTGCAGGCCTAAACTCTAGGGGCCCTCACCCTACCAGCACGAAGGGAACTTACGACCACGAAGCGAGGGGACATACGACAAACCTGTAAGGCATACGCTCTTACTTCTACAGTGTTCTGAAAGTGCAAACGTTAGGAACAACATAGGATGTTTGTTGCGCTTGTGTAGAACCTCGTCGCAAAGCAAGCAAGGTTTTCTAGTTATACGAAGAGGTTTCGCAGCCAAAAACAAAGGTGGTTCAAGTAAATAGAGATGTTTATCCCTCTTGTGTGCTGGTATCGTAATCGCGGCTCCACAGGGTGTACAAGGGCAAAAACATCCTCTGGTTTTCTCTAACGTTTGCACTTTAAGAACACTGAAGAAGTAACAACATATCCCTTAGAGGTTTGTCGTATGTCCCCTCCCTTCGTGCTAGGGTTTGGTGAGGGCCCTAGAAGTTTGTCGCATGTTCCTTCGTGCTCGTAGGGTGAGGGCCCTAGAGGTTAATACAACCGCTTTACAGTGCAGGCGGGCTTTAGGATTACGCTACCAGCACAGGCTTTTGGGTGCAGAATACTAGCCCTGAAAACGTGTAGATGTTTCCCCTGCGATGCTTACGACGTCACCCGACGAGCACGAAGGTAGGGGACATACGACAAGCTTCGACGGCACTCACCAAATTCTACGAGCACAAAGGCAGGGGACATACGACAAACCTCGAACGGATATGCTTTTACTTCTGCAGTGTTCTGAAAGTGCGGTCCCCAGGACTTGGGTGCCATGTCAGTACACTCGGTACCCAAAAAGCACGATGCTAGTTGAACACGCGGTCCACAAGACTTGGGTCGCGCCGGGTGTGTGTTAACATGTTCTAGAACCTTTTCACAGCGCTAAGAAAATAACAACAACAACAACAAGGTAACAACAACAACAACAACAACAACAACAACAACAACAACAACAACAACAACAACACTAACAACAACAACAACAACAACAACAACACCAACACCAACACCACCACCACCAACAACAACAACACCAACACCAACAACAACAACACCAACAACAACAACAACAACACCAACAACACCAACACCAACAACACACCAACACCAACAACACCAACACCAACAAGAACAACAACAACACCAACAACAAGAACAACAAGAACAACAAGAACAACAACACCAACACCAACACCAACACCAACACCAACACCAACACCAGCACCACCAACAACAACAACAACAACAACAATTCAATTCACACTCGGCGGAAAGAGTCTCTCGCTCAGAGCGGCCGCTAACACATAGACTGTTGCTATGCGGCTGTCTTGAAGACAGGCTTGTTGTCCCCTAGCAATCAGTGGGCACACCGAAGTGTCTACAGCGCCACTGATCGCTCCACAGTATATACAAAAGAGAAGCGTGATTCGCTTCTTATGCCCCTAAGTTTCGGCTGAATCTACGGGCGGCTCATCCAAACCGAGCTGCGAGCATGTCTGCTAGGCTCAGGAGTCGTGGCTCAGTGGTGGCAACAACAACAGCAACAACAACAACAACAACAAGGCACCGCCGGTTTCTGCGATCCATACGCCCCCCCCCCCCCCCCCCCCCCCCCCCCCCCCCCCCCACCCCCCCCACCCCAGATGTTGGCTATGCTGCACGTGCGTGCCTTGTAAACAAATACTTCACAAAGGAAACACCCCCAGAATCGACGCAACGCACCCGCAAAATAGACGCAATGCATGCTTAGACGCTTAGCAACAGCACACCGTGTCCTGGCGGAGGGCACGGAGGGCGTGGAGGGCGGGGGCGTGGAAGGGGGAGGCTGGGGCTAGGGCTGCTGGGGCTGGGGCTAGTGTTGGGCTGCAGCTGGCTAGGGCTGGCACTGCACCTCGGGCTGAGGCTAAGGGCTGGGGCTGGGTTGGGGCTGGGCTGGGGCTGGGGCTAAACCTGGGGCTGGGGCGGGGCTGGGGTTGGGGCTGGGGTTGGGGCTGGGGTTGGGGCTGGGGTTGGACAAGTTTTTCTTTTTTCTTTTCATGCACATGGAACCCCACTTTTACACTTGGGCACAAAACCCAAACCTGGGTGTTTTGGAACAAATGTTCGAGATTTCAGAACTTTCTCAACATCATTGTTCTTATGGTGGTCTTTGGCATCAAAAGTATCTAGACCGGTCTGATCTTTGAGAATGCTGAAAACTCGAAACAGCTTCTCTCGGAAAGAGGATCTATGGAGGGCGCGGGGGGCGCAGAGGGCGTGGAGGGCGTGGAGGGTGCGGAGGGTGCGGAGCGCGGTGTTTGCGGCCCCACTCCCCTGCCCATCAACCGAATGTCACGCTCCCCCCCTCCTGCGAGCTCGTCTGTCAGACATCCATTCACGGTTTGCGGGAAGAATCCAAAAAGAGCACGGGCATCAAGGCTCCCCGCCCCCCCCAACCCCCCGCCCCTGAGATGAAACCTGAGCGTTACCAGCCTCCGGCTCGGTACAACTGGCAAGGCACGCAGGTGTCTGCTGGCTAAGTGTATCACTCTGATCCAGAACCTCGGGCACAGGCCACTGCATGCCATGATGACTGAACCCTGTGGCATACCTGTCTCTATTTCAGTCAGGCGCAAATTTAAAAACTCAGCTCATTTGGCATGTCGTATGACGACAGTGGCGGCCACGAGGTCTCGTTCCAAAAACGAAACATAGCGAGAGTGCGCAGCAGTAAGTTTCTATACAAATCAGCACCTATGCACAAGAGCAGTCAACGGAAGGGTGTGCTTCACAACAACAACAAACAAAAACAAAAGCCTGAGCTCGTCGCCGTTCTTTTGTCGGTGAAGGACTGGTTGTCACACCTTCTCAACTTGAGTTGAGTTCGCGCTTGACACATTCATCCTAAACAAAAAGAACAGCTACCTTCCCTGTGAGGAAGCATGCTTTTGTGGCTCCCACGCATTTTGTACATGCGCTACCGCGAAGCCTGTTGCATCACAAGACACAACTCACAAGACGAGCTGGATTACAGCAGCACCAATGAGGATGTAATCGTAGGAGGCGTTGAAGTAGAACTTCACCTTCTACCCCATGAAGACGGACCCCATGAGGCGGAACTCCATCCTTGGTTCCATGAAGGATCCAACGACCAATTGGACCTGGGCTGTAGAGGATCCCTTGCCTCTTGGCGAGCCTTCCCCTTTTCTGGCCTTACCAGCCCCTTTTCCTTTTGGAGGCGCCCAAAGTTCTTCATGTCTCCTTCTACCGCTGGCCTCGTACTCGTAGACTTCAGGGTTGTTGTCGAAAGAGACTTCTCTCCTCGCAGCAGCTGGCTTCGCCGCTGGCTTAGCCTTTGGAGGAGCTGCACTGCTGAAGGTTCCTCACTTGGAAGTGAGCCTCCTTTCTTGCTCTTGCTATTGCCTTTGCCAGGTGGAGCACGACCTTCTCCTTGTACGGGTTCGGCAGGAGCACCACGCTTTTTAGCTTTCTGTCTCTCCTTCCTGGATTGGGACGCCTGCAAGATCAACTCCTTCGACCTGTACGTCTTCTTCTCAGAGAACTTCCTCCAGTTAGGAGCGACGTGTAGAAGCAGTGGTGTGTGACTGTCATTGTCCGAGGGCGTCAGGAGGAAGTGGTTCTTCGTGGAGTGCAGCAAGAACTCACTCACCGAAACTTTGTACTCCATGCTGCCCTTGTACTCAGCCCACACCTCATTAGTCATGCTATGACCCCATTCGAAGACGATGGCAGCCATGCAGTCCAAATCAGGAAACGTCGTCCAATCCACTAGGTGGCCCACATCGCCGTAGGGGAACCCAAGCTTCTCCTCATAGAGTTTGAGAAGATGTAGAGGGTTCGAAGTCACGATGCGTGTCCTTGGGATCAACAACCTGTCCTGACGTTGGTGCTTCTCGAAGGGGGCTGAGCTGTCGTGTGACATTGACCCCTGTTGGCTACCTCCGAATCGGTAGCATGACATGTTGCCATCTCCGCCCATCAGATCCACTTGGTAGTGGAAACAGTCAGCCACCATCGCAGCTAGTCCCTCGGCCAAGAAGCCGGGCCTAGAGCGTGCGATTTCGCTTCGAACGTGGAAGTTGCAGACACGAATTGACTTCATGCCTGCACGCGTGAGATCTTCATTGAACTCGCCCTCCTCGAAGGCGGACTCCACTCGATCAACCAGGTCTTCTTGTTCCATCCTACCTCGAGGAACAGTACTTCCAAAGTTGATCTGGACGATCTCATACTTGATGGGGATCCAGGCATACGTAGGGTTTTTAAGGACCGGACCAGCAAGGTGCTTGAAGCTGACCTTGCTCTTGCCCTTTGTGTTTCCTCTGACAGCAGTGAGGAGATCTCCTGCCTCATTTGTTCGGAAAAACCAGCCCTTGGACCTGAAGTAGTCCAACTCTTC